TGTCATCTGCAGACTTGGACAGAGTACACTTCACTCCCTCGTCCAAGTCGCTGATGAAGATATTGAAGAGTATCGGTCCAAGGCCCGAGCCCTGCAGGACCCCACTGCCCACACCCTTCCAGGTCGATACCGACCCATCCACTACTAGATTTGGCAAATGACTAGTGATAGCAGCATGATGTAATTGACTGCCTGATTTACCTGCTACTGACTTGAGTGTCCTAATTAAATAGCAGAAAATCATTGGATTTGCTAAGACTACGTGGTTACCTTAGTTACAGAAATCCTAGATTCAAGAAATGGAAAAAAATATACATTTATTATAATTATCCTTGTCTGTTTAGAATCTAATTATCAGAGCGTTGTTTTAAATTTGCCTACCTGCCCCTACTGCTGCAGCGGGCAAAGCAGCACCAGGGGGACAATAGGTGCATCCCCCTGGCAGGCAGTAGAGGAGCAGGCAGTGTGGAGCCAGCTGTGGACGAGTCAAGCAGCCTGACACCTACCCCTTGCCCCACCACACCTTGTCTGGGGCTGCCTGCTCCCCCCCCTTGTGCCCCTGACCCCTACTTGTCCCACCCACTGCCTACCTGCCCTCCTGCCCCCGGCACCTGTCCCCTCAGTGGCCACTGGTCCTGTTTTGTACCAGACCATCCTGTTTTAAACCCTTTATTCCCTGTCCTTTTCTGAATAAAGAACCAACTGCAAAAAGTCCTGTTTTTCAGTTCATTGGTGGAAATACATGCCAATCATTTGTCCTCATGATTCTGTTGTCTGTGTTTAGAGAGAGGATGATACACAGCCAGGAGGAGCAGGGTTTGGATTCAGCTGTGGAGGGAGAGAGGTGGCTTTTATGTGATGGCCCTGCCCCTTGCTGCTGATTGGCTAAAGGGCCTGGTAGCCCCACCACCCACTACTGATTTGACTGAGGAGACAGTAGCCCTGCTTCTGCTGATTGACCAAGGGGATTGGGGGATTCAATATTCTGGGGATTTATCAGTGGCCATGCTTACCTGCCCTCCTGCCCACCACAGCCTCTGCCCCCACAGCCCCCCACCTGCCCTTCCCTCCCCCCTACCCCACTGCTTACCCTCTGGCTTCAGCTCTGACCCAGGGCACAGAGTATGTGCTTGTTCCAACTCCAGCTGAATAGCAGTGTCGGGAATGGCAGCAGCTCCTGTTTGGGCTCTGGGGGTACCTTTTAGCTTCACCCAAATATATTCTGATCTGCAATCATTTTTCTCTTATCTACCTCTTCCCCTTGGGTTCATTTATAGCAAATCCTACTAACAAAAGATACCAGACAAAAAATCAATTTAAACTTTCTCTGCTCAGACCAGGAGTGAGTTTCAAATACCTCCTAGATGCATTTTTAGGCAAATGCACAAAGGGCCTGATGCAAGCCTACTGTAACAAGTGAAAAGTCTCCATTCAATTTCCAGGCTTTGGGTGAGGCCTGAAGAAAGTGGATACTTATTGTGGCTGTGCTTTGCTTCTCCCCCAACTTTCTTTGGGGTAAAATGGGCTTTGTTTTATCTAGTAATGTGTGCTTTTTCTTCTGATCTGTTACAGATGAAAGATTCGTATCTTATTCTGGATGAATATGTAAGTGTTTTGGTTTGACAGTTGATGAGTTAATATATTTGCTGGCTGGTTAATGTGGGCTAGATTATTCATGGTTTGGCAGGCCAATGGAATTGTTTCTGTTTAATGCTCACTCTTTTTGAGGATTTTAAACAAGTTTCTGAGAGAATGTTATGCTGCGTGTGGATTAAAAGGAAATTGCTTTCACGAGCATAAACACTTTCATGGGCCAAACATAGGCCCTCACCCTGCCAGCAGACCCCGAGTAGTTTGTCAAGTGCACAAGCATCCTCCTGTACTTATCCAAGGGCAGGACTGGGAATGCACTGTGCTTCTGTTACGTTTGAATCTCAATTGTGAAATCTAGTTTCTTAAAGAGTTATTACTAACGTGTGCCTGGAGGTGTGTTCATTATCTATATGTAAACAAAATAGGCTTCCTTTAACTCCTGTTTTAGGAGGCAAAAGTCATGATTTTGTGAGGCCCTGACCATCCAAACACTATGTGCCTATGTATAGTCCTGTTGGGATCCAGTCAGCTTGTTCATATGCAGAGTTAACATGAGTATATAAAACTGTGGGATTGGAGCTCAAATTATTAATTTTTTACACATCTTATGATTTTAAAAAACTTTCTCATTTCTTACCATCTCTAGATGCGTTTTCTGAACTGTAGAAATGGACGAAAGGAGCCTTCCAAATCTATTCTGGATGTTGGTGTTGAGCATGCTATAAAATTCAGTGGATTTGATGAGGAGATGTTTCTGAAGAGAGGAGGAAAATACGTGTGGAGTAAAGCAGATATGAAACTAGAATGGTGACCCAATATAGTCAATCATGACAATTTGCACTTTTTAATACAGGCAGTCCTCAACTTGCGTTTCGAGTTACAACGTTTCGCACTTATGTTTATAATTGACACCCCGTTTTAACTTTCTGATGTCAGTTTCAACTTTACAACACTTGATTTGACGCCAAGCCATACCAGCAAATAAGTTCACTGGGTCACCCATCTCGCTGGAGAACATCTGTTCAAACTTCCTTGGACACTTTCTTTAAGAAAGCAGACTAGACTCCAGAAAAACCTGCAGCCAAGACTCCTGAGAAGACTCCAGCCAAGAACCCTTCAAAAAGTCCAACCAAGAGCCCTTCAAAACGTCCAGCAAAGTCTCCTCAAAGAAGTCCTTCCAAATCAATATGATTGCTATTTACAATATAATACATTAATATAGCTATATTACTCATCTATAATTGATTTGAGTACAAAATTCTGGGTTATTTTTGTTGAAAATAGGGTATCAGGCCTTGGTTCAGGAATCAATCCTCCATTTATAACATTGTTTCCTATGGGAAAATTGGTTCCGAGTTACAACATTTCGACTTTGTCACCGCCGAGAGCCGCGGCGCGGGGTTCGGGGCTTTAGGAGCCCTAATCGGCGGGCGGGTACTTGTGACGCTCGGAGTGGAATCAGGTACTCAAGCGTTTGGATTGAACAAAAGATTGTTTACTTACACTGCTCGTACAGTGCAGGTCAGAAACTTGCTTCGATTACAGTTACAAAAACTTGGGTTGGGCAGAAGTTACAAAGTTGGTTTGGTCGGTCTGCAAATGTGTCGGGGTGTTTGGGGTGTTCGGGCCGGCAGTCGTCTTACGTCTCGGGTGGGGGTGTGCTAGGCCCCCTTGAGTCGGTGACGGGGAGTCCTTAGTGGTTGATCAGGCCGCTAAGTTCGCTCTGAAACACGCGTGGAGTTTGCTAGGCTCCACAGTGTACTCAGAGTTCTCCACGAGGTGTGTGGAGTTCTCCAACTTGGGCGGAAACTGCTCAAGCTTTTAATACGGCTAACAAGCCAATCGCTAGTCGCCACGTGTGCATAATTTCACGCAAGCCAATAATGGGGCTCGAATTAGAATACAAATGGCAGGAACTCTGCACCGAGCATTTCTTAGATGCAAAAGAAATGCACCGTGCAAAGAAGCTGCAAATTGGCGGGAACTTTTTCCACGTCATTAATATATAGTCACTGGGCTCTGGAGTTTTCCCCTCATGACCTAATTACATGACCTACTTACAGAATGATTGACAGACTGCCTTCTGTATCAAACTATGGAATCCTCCCACTGTACTATAGGCATATGAACAATGGGTTCTGACAGACTTAACACCTGGCTTTCAGGAACCAATTGTGTTGTAAGTCTGAGGACTGCCTGTATAAAGTTTCGTTTTTATTTTTACACTTCATCTCCGCTTATGTCATATAAGTGATGTTTAGGTTCATTAACTATAACATCAGACATTAGCCTGTTTTAAAAGCAGTGTTTTTGAAATTTAGATTGTATTTTTATCTACTGTATATTTGTGAATTGTTAAGTAATACTAGCGTTAGGAGTAAAAGCTAATTTCCACAATCTAGTATTAATTTATATCTGAAGGTGTTAAACTGCACCTTCTTGTATGCTAAGATTTATTGTAAGTGTGAGAGAATGCCTCAGAAGACATAAAACCTAATACAACTTCATAAAATCTTGCTTTAATAACAGAATATAAATAGGTAGAGCTCTTTTCAGGAGAATTGTCCAGCACAGTTCATAGGAAATGACAAGATGCAATTCCTTGATTTGCCACAAGGGGGCACCCCAGCAGATCTTTGAAGTCTCTACTGCCTTTCTTTTTGAACACGCAGTAGTAATTCAGGCTCTGGTTAACATTTTATTCATATACATACATACAGACATTAGCAATAAGCTCCACAGTTTATTCATTCGCAGTAATAGCACATGTAGATGCACCCACGATTGCCCAGATGCTGCAAACACTTATATATCAGAATAATTTTAGGCACTTCATTCAGTGGGATTACCTGAATGAGTAAAGTTACTCAGTAGGTGAATATATAAGTGTTTACCAGGCTAGGCCGTAAGAAGTTCCACTAAGTAAGGAAATGAAAAATATGTATCTTTTAAAATAAGAAAATATTATTGTATAACCATAAAAAATGATAGAGGAACTTAAAGACAAAGATAGTAAAGACAAATTACTCCTAAATTGAGTTTTTGCTTATTATGTTTTATGAAAGGTGGCTGCTATTAAAGGTAGTTAGTTCCATTTACAACCTATATGCCTTAGCTACTAAATAAGCATCGATCCTAAGCCAAGGCATTTTTTAAAAGCTATACAGAGTGTGAACTTTGTGACTGCATAGTTAAACAAAATAAAAATCAAAGGCAGGGAAATAGCACTAGCACTTGCTTAACACAAAGCAGCCATTACAAACAACTGTCCAGTCACTATAATACAGTGAGTTAGATATGTTAGAACTTTAGACAAAGTTCTCCTGACTTCTGTTGTCAGTTTTGCTGGAGTAAAGACTGCAGGTCAATATTCAAATGATGTATTTGTGTAATTAAGCATGGTTCTTTTTCTTCTGGTTCAAAACTGAACAAAAAAGAGGAAAAGGCAAAATAGTGAATAGAAAATTAATTAAAGAAGTCTCTGAAATATTAATACAGTAGTGGTTTAAGGAAAGTTCAAATTTTCAGATAGGATTTATTACTGTGGGATTTTACATTGTGCTTTGCTTCAATACACATACTATTACTGTGCATGAATAAACTCCGAAGCTTAGTGCTTTGGAGCTTATTGCTCCTGGATGCATTGTTTGAACATGTACCTGGGAGCAATTAACTTGGGAGCAATAAACTCCAGAGTTTTTTCCTGTGCAGCACGTGGAGCTGGGTTGGAGCAGCCCCAGCTGGCAGGGGGCTCTGGGGATCAGCCTGCCAGCCTGGGGCTGCACCCCAAAGCTCAATATGCTATAGAGAAGCTGACTGGAGTAGGAGGGAGTTTCAGTGTGGGGCTAGTTGGCAGGCAGCCCCCTATATGGGAGCACTCTTGTGCCCCAGCCAGCCCCTCCAGCATCTGCATGTGAGTTGCTATGGAGTTTTCTCCTCTTCAGAAGGATAGTACTTTACGGCCATGTCTACATGAGATGCTACTGCTCAGTGGTTACTGTGCATTTATTTAGTACTTGTATAAACAAGTACTAAATAAATTTGCAGTAACCAGAGTTACTGCGCAGTAGCGCCAGCAAACACCTTTCAGGTGACGCTACTGCGCAGTATCTTAATGCTACTGTGCACTAGTGTCTCAGCATGGTTTTTGCCAAGTGACATTACTGTACAGTAGTATCAGGCTACTACACAGTCAGCGTCTTGTGTAGATGCACCCTACAAGTACTATCCTGCTGTGGAGTAAATTAGTTTACTCCAGCCTAATAGGATAGACTCTCAGATGTTTACTGGGCAACTCATTTAGTCAACTGCACAGTAAACATCTTGTGTAGATGCTCCCGGTGTAGTGGAAAATGCTCAGTCCTACCAAGTATAGTATTCTTTCAACGGAGATACAAGCTGCCTACACCAAAAACTTAGGACTTGTTTTGTAACTTTATTGAAGAACAAACACTTGCATAGAATAAGCTCTTTTTATACCGTTTACAATTTTAAGTACCTTTATATGAAAAATTCCCTTTCACTTAAAGCTTTAATTTCTTTACTGTAATAAAATGTGTTTTGTTTTTTTATGGCTGTGATTAAATAGCAGTCTAGAAAGACTGTTTTGCTGTTTTTGCACTGATAGAGTATGCACACCATTCATATTAGATTAAATAGTGATCCTGCAAAGTTACAAGCATGCATAACTTTGAATATGTATCCAGCAAAATTAACAGTTGGCACATCTACACGTGTGCTTTATTGCGGAGTTGACTAATTAGGTCCGCAGTAAATCGTCACCATCTACATGTGCACTGATATTAGGGCACAGGAGACTAATTAACCTCGTCCTAATAGTGCTGTCAAGGAATGTTGTATCTTATGGCACAGTAACTTACTGTGCTGAAGTCCACATGTAGACGGTGACTGGGGACAGCTGGGGCATGAGGGTGCAAAAGTGCGGGGACTGCCTGCCATCCAGTCGTGCACTTTAGCACCCTCCGCCACCCAGTGCTAGTACCTGGAGCCTGGGGTTGACTTCCCACACCCCTGCCAGCCTGGGGCTGCTCTGCCAGGTTCAGGCTACTGTGGTCCCAGGTTCAGTGTATGCACAGGCACCCTGGACAACAGCAGTTTGAGCATCTGCATGTGCCATTGAGGTACCAAGATAAACTTCAGCACAAATTCCGTCCAAGTTTATCACATTGTCTTAATGGCACGTGCAGATGCAACCAGTGAATTTTAAAATAGGAGTAACCTCTTTAAGTTACAGATGTGCATATACCTTTGCTGATTTAGGACTTCTATATTATGTTTAACATTATTACAATGGGTTAATTCAAGAAAGCAACCTTAAGCACATGTTTTTGTTGCACCAGAGTATTAGTTTGTGTAATAATTTATTAGCACTTTTGTTACTTTTTAACATTCTGGAGAGAAGACAATTGATATTAAGATTCCAATGCACTTAAAATTACTGTGAATATTTCCCAAATAAGAAATTAAGGAGTGGATTTTATGTTGTATTTCATATGGGGTTTTTTTTCAGTGTGAAAGGCCTTTTTAACATTTAAATGTGCTAAGAAAATTCAGTCCTAGCAAAATGCATTTGTTAATATTGAACATTTCTGTGTCTATTTTTGTATAAATGTTATGACAACAAATTGTACATTGAAATAAACAGTATTTTTCTTTCTTAATTTTATCTTATGTTTATAAAATATAATCCAGAGCCATATTATTTATAATTGAGGTAAAAAAGAGGCTCTGATTTTGTTTATCTAAGGGCTTTCGGTCTGCCTCTACAAAGTACAGGATCTGGGCCTGCAACTATAACATCTATAAAGGTTAAGCAGTATAACTGTTTCTTTACTGCAATCCCTTTGTTATATAGCCAAACCCATTGTGTCATGTTACAAGAGCACAGTTTTCTTTAATTGTGCTGTCAGGCTATACAAGGGATACAAGTATCCACACATTTTTGAAGGTGGAAAAGGGAATAGAGGAGTGATTCTTGACCAGGCTGCCAGGTCACCCTAGGGTGCCACAAAAACCTTTGAATATGCAGAAGGAAGTGTGAGGAGATAAGCAGATAA